AATTATATCAAGGTTTGACTGTTTAAGGGAAAGTTATTTATATCATTGGATTTGTTAATAACATTTCAATACTGTAATTCATGGTCTACCTCACTAGTCTAGTATAGCAAGACGAGTGAGTCTTCTTAAATATGTAATTGGAGATGCCAAATGCTGCTGATTCGTTAATATGGGAGCATCTTTTTGTTCAATTAGCTCTTTTAATAAATGTTTATTTCAGTAACAATGGGAATGGTATGTTATAGGGGTGTAATGAGCTTAGGTTGTTAAACTTTCTAATCAACTAGCAAAACAAGGTGTCGATGGCAAATATAAGAATTCACTTTCCCCCTTAGATGATGTTGAAAGGTTCAACTTCTTGTGAGGAAAATAAATTACTAGGAAGCATGTTGTGCATAATTAAAAAATAATTGTTTGCTTCCATTTCTACCTGATATGTTTTAAATTTCCTAGAAATCATATTGTAAAAATTTATTTTTTGCACCAACTTTCATAATTAGTCCAAGTCCATCCTCCAACTTTCATAAGCCTACAAAACTAGTCCTTCAAATTAAAGATACTTCCCTGTCCGTCCACCATCTTTCTAATACCTTCAAATTCATCCTTGGACTTTTTGCGAAATGGTTAGTGAATTTGATCCAGTAATGCAAGAGCATCTTCGGCGGGCTAAAGCAAAAGAGATTCAATATACATATCTTGGCAAAAAAATTCAAAATGAGTTGATACAGTTGTTGGCTAATCAAGTGAGAAGTTCAATCGTCAAGAAAGTTAAAGATGCAAAATATTTCGCAGTTATACTTGATTGTACTCCAGATGCAAGTCAGGAGGAGCAAATGTCTTTAATTGTTCGATTTGTAGATAATTCGGCAAACTTACCTACAGTTCAAGAACATTGGCTAGAATTTTTGAAGGTAGATGACACAACAGGACTTGGACTTGCAACCGAGCTTCAAAAGGCTTTGATAAAAATTGATCTCGATATTGATGACATTAGAGGGCAAGGGTATGACAACGGATCTAACATGAGCGGGAAGCACAAAGGTGTGCAAAGAAGGGTCCATGAAATGAATCCCCGAGCTTTCTATACTCCATGTGGCGCTCATAGTCTAAATCTAGCATTATGTGATATGGTGAACTGTTGTTCCAAAGCTGTATCCTTCTTCGGAGTGATACAACGCATCTACACATTATTTTCCTCTTCTACCAAGCGATGGAAAATTTTCAAAGATAATGTACAAGGGTTGACAGTGAAGCCATTGTCACAAACACGTTGGGAAATTCATGTTGAAAGTGTGAAGCCTATAATGAAGCAAACTGCACAGATAAGAGATGCATTACTTGATTTAGCAGAAAGTAATGAAGAACCTAAAGTGAAGAGTGAAGCCGAGTCATTAGCAACACATGAACTTCAAAATTTTGAGTTTTTGTTTGGCATGATAATCTGGTACAGATTGTTGCATACTGTCAATATTGTGAGTAAATTTCTTCAAACCGAATCCATGGATATTGATCATGCTATCGACCTTTTGCAAGGGCTTGTTTCATTTCTTGAAGAATATAGAGAAATTGGATTTGCTATTGCCAAAGATGAAGCGGCAAAAAAGGCAAGCGAAATGGGAATTGAAGCTGTATTTACAGAAAAACGCATAATTCGAAGAAAAAACAATTTGATGAAAGCGGTAGTGATGAGGTAAAACAATCAGCAGAAGAATCTTTTAGAGTTGAGTACTTTATTTTTATAATTGATCAAGCTCTATCTTCTATGAGGACTCGATTTGAACAATTCAAAAAATATGATGACACATTTGGATTTTTGTTTAGTTTGAAGAGGTTAAGGAATACAACTTTTTCAAGTTTGTTGAAATCTTGTTTGAATCTTGAGAAATATCTTCAACATAATGGGCGTTCGGATATTAGTGGAGATGATTTATGTTCGGAGTTACAAGTCTTGAGATGTTATATACCAAGTGAAGCAACAAGAGCAATTGAAGTGCTACAATATTTGAAGACATTGGATGTTTGTTTTCCAAATGCTTATACTGCTTACCAAATTTTGTTAACCATACCGGTTACAGTTGCATCTGCGGAAAGAAGTTTCTCAAAATTAAAGTTGATCAAGACCTATCTCCGATCAACTATGTCGCAAGAAAGATTAAACGGATTGGCTATGTTATCAATAGAAAAAGAAATGGTTGAGCAGTTAAGTTATTCAGATTTGATTAATATTTTTGCCTCTAAAACAGCAAGACGAATAGTATTTAACTAATTGTTTGAAATTTTTGGTTTGATGGTTTATAATATAAATCGTTTCTATGATATATTTCGTTGTTGTTTTAATGTTAGTTTTTTAAGTTAGCAATGAGTCTCATAATACACCTTTGAATTTTGTCGCTGGGGGGCCTACTTTTCATAATTCGCCTCAGGGCCCATTAGACACAGGACCGGCTCTGCGGCTATCAAATGTGTTTTTGTATGATATGGTTCTCATCAGAAAGGATACCGTTGTTATTGTTCACTAAAAATGCATATCAAAGTGCATGGATCACATTCAAGTAATAAAGTGAATTTTTTTAGTCTGGATTCTCAATCCATCGAGTAATGTATACTTTCGGCTACACAAATTTAATTAATTTAATTCTAACAATAAAAAGAAACACACTATAAATATTTGGTATTGAAAAATAACTAAAAATCTACAAAATAAGGAAATATAAAAATATTGAAAATTTTAGAGGAAAACGTGGTTATGATTCATGATTTCGCTTAACTGTCGTCTAAGTAATTTCTCTAAAAGCCAATTAATAAATTACTCATTTATGATACCTGATTTTTCAATTTTAGTTTATTACCTCTCTTGAACAAAATTAACCCTAATTGATTAATTTAACGTACTATACTTCTATGTCGATTCAAACCAAACAACTCCATTAAATATTTGTGAAAATAATTCAATGGATTACCTAATTTTAAGATATATCTCTATCCCCTACATAAACCTAGAGTTTATACTATTTGGTCTAAAATGCACAATCTTCTCTTAAACGATGTACAAATCACTAAACACAATCATTCATTAGCCATATAAATGAAAGTGCAATAATAACAATATTAAAAACACATGAAAATAAGCGTTTTAATATTAAAAAGCAAATATTAAAATTAATTAAAGCTAATTTAAGTTATTATCATAAATCCCAATACAATAAATTAGCCAATATTAAACAAATGATAAAAGGAAAATATTTATAACAGTGCATTACAAATATGGCAAAATAAATGAGAAAATACAAAGTTACATATAAAACCCTTTTTTGAATCTTGGCTATGATTTTTCCAAATATTTTTCGAAGTCCTCAAAACGCCAAGCAAAATGGAAAGAAAAAGAAGAGAAAAGGAAAGAAAGAAAATGAAAACTGGTGTAAGACAGAAGCCAAAGCAGGAAGAAAATGCCCTATTCAAAATAGGGACTGTTGGTTGTTATAATTAAAACCTAGAGAAATTGCACCCTTTGTCCCTAAAATTTCAAAAAGTGACAAAAAGGTCCCCCAAACCCCTTTTTAATTAAATATAAATATGGTGCCTAGGCGCCAAAACCCTATCAATAGCCAAGGAAAAAATGACTTTCCATTTGTAGCTTATGCCTTAGGTAATTACACGTCAGATCCTTCAACTTTGATCTTGTACAATTTGGCCCTTGCATTTTTACTTTTACATCAATTTTGCACTCCATATGCATTCAAGGTCCTCCACTTTCTGTACTTGTGCATTTTGGTCCCCAACTTCACGTTTTTGTACGCTTTTGGTCCATTTTCACTCCATTTTGCCCTGTTCTCTTACCTTGGGTGATTTTTACCTACAAAGTAATAACTACATAATTATGAATGGAAATTCGCTCATTTAATAAATATTTAAACTTATTTAGGTATTAACAAGTGTGCAAAAACACACTTATTAGTTATCACCTACCTACTCAAATAATTTATGTTACTATGGATGTTACATTTAATGAGGATTTGGCCTACTTCTCTATCGATGGCTCTCCTCATAAAGGAGAAACGGATGGTATTTTTGAAGAGAATAGCCATGATGATATGCCATTGATACTACATCTCTAACTAGTGATCAGGGACATGATACTATAGATACTAAGAAATGTTTTAAGAAGGAAATAACTCGACAACATGTCTAAATATTGCTGATAGTACTGCTGGCAATTCTCCTATCTATCCACAGCATATTCAATCTACTCTAGAGGATACAAATGAGGTGCTTTCTGAACCTGATGAAACTTTGAACGAAACCAGCAAATTTTTGAACACTACTCCTGAACCTGACCTTGAACCCAAATCAGAACCACCAAAATATCAATTACCAGCTCCCATAAATCGTGGTTAACCAAAAACCCAGTATGATGCAGATTTAAATAGTAAAGGAAAGTACCCCATTAGCAATCATGTGTCATCCCATAGAGTTTCCAAGTCATATAAATCATTCTTGTGTCGAATATCTGTTGTATCTATTCCAAGACAGTTGCAAAATGCATTAGCAATTACCAAATTGACCTAAATTCTGGCTGAAGAAATGAGAGCATTACAAAAGAATAACGATGTGGTAGCCTTGCCTCCAGAAAAGAAGACTATTGGATGTTGATGGATTTTTACCATAAAACACAAAGCTGATGGCTTGATAGAAAGGTACAAGGCTAGATTGATTGTAAAATGATACACTCAAAAATATGGGATGGATTACAATGAGAAATTTGCTCCTGTGGCAAAGATTAATACTGTACGTATACTACTTTTTGTGGCTGCTAATCAGAGTTGGCCATCATTGCAATATGATGTGAAGAATGTTTTCTTCATGGAGAACTTCAAGAAGAGGTGTATAAGAATAATTGAATATCCACCTTGCTATAGTGGTAAATTGTATTGTTCTTTATATAGATATTTACAAATAGTATAAATGGAATGCAAATCAATAGTTGTACAACAAAACGGAAATTATGCAAAATTGGCTCCTACAATTACGTGTCTGTCATTTACATGATGAGAAGACTTTGATTGAGGAGTGATATCATCAATCACAGTATTATTCCCAACATCCCCCCGTAAGCTAAGCGTCTGATTAGATCGGATATGGAGCTTGAAATGAAAGAGCTCAAATAGAGGTCGAGAGACACTTTTGGTAAAGATATCAGTAACTTGTAGGTGAGAGGGGACATGTTGTGTACGAAGTTTTCCAGCGACAACAAGTTCACGAAGAAAGTCGTAGTCCAATTCAACATGCTTAGTTCGCTTGTGTGAAATTGGATTGGAGCTTAAAAAATGGCACTTTCGTTATTACATCAAAGAATGGGCCATTGAGGCATGGAAACCTTGAGGTCATGCAGGAGATGTGTGAGCCAAACGAGTTCGACGGCGGTTGAAGTAAGGGCACGATACTCAGATTCACAGCTAGAACGGGAGACAGACGGTTGTTTCTTAGCACTCCAAGAGACTAAATTGTTGCCAAGATAGATAGAAGATAGATAGAATAACTAGAGGTCAAACGACGAGTATCAGGGCAGCCAACCCAATCAGCATCAGAATATGCAACCAAAGCACCAGGAGAAGATGAAGGGCGAAAACTTATGCCAAAGTGAATGGTGCCTTTAACATAGCGGAGGATCCTTTTAACAGCCAAAAAGTGATCAACAGTGGAGCGTGTAAGTATTGACTGACAGAATTGATAGCGTGAGCGATGTCAGGCCTTGTGATGGTTAAGTATTGAAGTGCACTGATGAAGAATCTATAGAGAGTGGGGTCAGAAACCAAAGAACCATCGACGGACAGATGCTGAGAAACAACCATGAGTGTGTGAACAGGCTTATTGTCAAGTAACTGAGCTCGAGTAAGAATGTCCCGTGCATATATGAGCTAACTGATGAATAGACCATCAGAAGTTAGGGTGGCTTCAAGACTAAGAAAATAACTGAGAGAACCCAAGTCCTTATTGGCAAACTCAGAGTTAAGTGCACGAGTGAAGCATGCTAGAAGTGATAATATCATTAACATAAAGAAGTAAATAGATAATATTGAACTCCTGATGAAAGACAAACAGAGATGTGGTCACACGGCTACAAGAGAACCCAAGGCGAATGAGAAAAGAGTTGAATCGTTGAAACCAAGCACGAGGGGCTTGTTTGAGACCATAAAAGCTTTCTTCAACTAGCAAACATGATTGGGAAAGCGAGGATCAATATACCCTGGAGGCTATTCCATATAGACCTGATCAGTAAGAGAACCATTGAGGAATGCATTTTTGACATCAAGTTGATGAAGAGGCCATTTTTGTGTTACGGTGAGAGAAAGCACAACTCGAACAGTAGTAACCTTGATTATCGGACTAAAAGAATCAGTATAGTCAAGACCAGGAACTTGTGTATAACCTTTGGCAACAAGAGGCTTTAAGGTAACAGATCCATCGGGTAAGTATTTGGTCCGAAATACCCATTTGGAGCCAACAATGTTTGTGTTGGCAGGGCGAGGTACCAAAACTCAGGTGCGATTATTCTCTAGTGCATGAATTTCTTCATCTATGGCAGCAAGCCAAGCAGGATTTTTAGAGATTTAAAACCTTTAGGCTTAGTCGATGCAAGGAGACCAGAAAGAAGACCAGAAGTGCCCAATAAACTAAGATTTGCTAGATGTCGAGTCTTGAAAAAGCCAGCTTTAGCCTTTGTAAGCATAGGGTGAGTGGCAAAGGGACCACTGTAGTAGGTGTGGGATCTGCACTAGGTTCAAGAGGATATGAACTTGAAACCGAGGTCTGCAAAAAGAGACCTACAAGAGAATGTAGATCCTGCAAAGACTTATTCACTGGATCAGTATACATAATGCATGGACTAGACCTAGATTGAGTGAATTGTGTGGTTTGGGTATTAGGGGGTGAGGATGGTATATCTGTATGGATGAGGCTAGGTTCGAGAAAATTGGAAAAGTTAAGGAAGGATAAGAGTTGAGCTGAGATGTAGTAACAAAAGGAAAATGATTTTCATCAAATTGAGCATGGCGAGTAATATATAGCCTAGAGGTGGAAGGTTCGAAGCAACGAAACCCTTTGTAAGAGGGACTGTAACCTAGAAAAATACATGGGATGTTGCGAGGAGAAAATTTGTTAGGCATATAATCTCATAAGCAAGGATAAGATGACAACCAAAAGGATGAAAGTTTTCATAGTTCGGGGGATTACCATACAAAATCTCAAAAGGTGATTTACCTCCAAGAAGTGGTGTAGGCAAACGGTTGATGATGTAAGTCGTAGTGCTGAAAGCGTCAACCCAAAAGCGAGGAGAAACATGGGAATGAAAAAGGAGTGCTAATCCTGTCTAAGTCATCTGGCAGTGTTTTCATTCTGCGCGACCATTTTGGGCAGGCGTGTATGGACATGCGAGCTGATGGTGAATGCCACAAGAGCAAAGATGATCTTGAAAGAAATTGCTGGTGAATTCAGCACTGCCGTCACTTTGGAAAATTTTAATACGAGTGGAGAATTGATTTTCCACAAATTTTTGGAATTGAATAAAAACATTATAAAAGTCCGATTTCAATTTTAAAGGATAGAGCCACGTGAAACGAGAATAGTCAAAAATAAAAAGAACATAATATACAAACCCTGAATTAGATTTGATGGGAGACGAACCCCAAATGTCACAATGGATAAGATCAAGTATTTTAGACGACCTATGTTCATTTCGAGAATAAGGTAAGCGATGACTTTTAGCAATTTGACACGTGCTACATAAAGTCGGAGAAGGCAACAAAGATGTAAGATAAAGATGCCCCTTTTTATTTAATAGAGAAATAATAGAATGATTGACATGTCCAAGGTGTGCATGCCATAAGTCATATGACGCATGCGACGATTTATTTTTAAGAGTAGAAATAAAAGCTGAATTGCCACGCTCGAGCGCATATAAGCCACCATCACACTTACCGGTTGCCACCACCTTTCATGTTTTGTGATTTTGTACAGTGAACAAGTTATTAATAAAGGTAACAGGTAAAGGAAAATCAGATGTTAATTTACTAGTGGAAAGTAAATTTTTGGTAAGGCAAGTACAACTAAGACATCAAGAAGATGGAGATTTTGGGTAGGGAAAATATTACCGGTATAGGTAATGGGCAGTGAAGCACCATTACCAACAAACACACAATCCTTACCCATGTAATTTGTGGCCTGGTCCAATTTAGAGTGATCCATGGTCATATGGGCTGAGGTCCCTGTATCCAAATACGAATCAGGACTCATATCTTTATTCAAAGAGCAAGATCCCATGAAGGCTTCAGCAAGATGGGCTGGTGACTCATTTCGATTGTAGCGTTGAAGACAACGATCAGCGAAATGGCCATCCATCCGACAAATTTGGCATCGTGGGGGACGATGCCATTGGTCGGAGTTGAAGCGTCCTTGTCCATGATCGGATGAACTGCTGCCACACCCACCGAAGCGACCTCGATGATGGCGAGAAGAACCACCACAGTGGGTGGAATTCTTGGTGACGATAAAGGCTGCCACAGCTGGAGAAGATGAGTCAAGGGATTTCTGAAAAATTTCAAAACTTTCTGTTTCGGAGACTAAATCTGCAAATGAGGAGAGAGGAGTTTGGGCCATTTGTGCTGTGGAGAAACTGGAGAAATCAGCACCGAGCCCGCTTAGAAACCAGTGTACTTTGTCGGTGCCATCAATTGGTCGACCAATTGCATGTAGTTGGTTACAAATTGCTTTGAAAGAACAGGCATACTCAACAATCGATCTAGTGCTGCGTTTTTATTAATTGTAGGTCATCCTTAAGCCGTAATTCTTGAGCCTTAGAGCGATGGCTAAATGTGTTCTCTAGTGTGAGCCATACGTCCCGTATGGTGGAGAGGCCAACTACCTCAGCCATGGCTTCTTCGGTGAGAGAGGAAAGTAACAAACTGAGTAGGTACTGATCAGTAGCTTTCCATGCCAACTATTTGTCACTTGGCGTAAGAGAAGTGGCAATGTCAAGTTTTGGGGACTGCACAAGGGTGCCATCAACGTGTCCTAATAATTCTTGACTCTCAAGAAGAGTGAGGAGTTGGCTTTTCCAGAGGAGATAATTTGAGGAGGAAAATTTGATGGTGATGATGTGGATTAAGGTATTGAAGGGAAAAAGGGAAGATGTCTCAGCAGCCATGAGAAAAAGAAGAGGATCAGTGGTGGTGTGCTAAACCAATTTTAGCTTTGATACCATAAGAATAATTGAAAATCCACCTTGCTATAATGGTAAATTGTATTGCTCTTTATATAGATGTTTACAAATAGTATAAATGGAATGCAAATCAACAGCTGTACAACAAAATGGAAATTATGCAAAACTGGCTCTTGCAATTACGTGACTATCATTTACATGTTGTGGAAGACTTTGATTGAGAAGCAATATCCTCAATCACAGTATTATTTCCAACGTTGTACATGTATCTTCCACCAGGACTTTCAGAGAATATAGGAATGTTGTGCAAGTTAAAAGAGCATTGTATGGTTTAAAACAATCTTCTCGAGCTTGGTTTGGAAGATTTGCACTTGTAATAAGGAACTTTGGGTACAAACAAAGCAACTTAGATCACACATTATTTCTAAAGTACAAAAAGGACAAGGTGATTGCTTTAATTATTTATGTAGATGATATGATACTTACTGGAAGCGTTATTTTCGAGATTGATGAATTGAAGAAATGTTTATCAAGAAAATTTGAGATGAAAGAGCTTGGAGATTTGAAGTATTTTCTTGGCATAGAAGTGATTCAGTCAAATTAGGGTATATTCTTGTCCAAGAGGAAATATGTACTAGATCTGTTAGCTGATACGAGAATGTTAGATCGCAAACCAGCTAAAACTCCAATTGAACAGAATCATAAGCTTCATGAAAACCCAAGTGATGTTCCAGTCAAAAAGAGAGATATCAACGACTTGTGGGCAAGTTAATTTATTTATCTCATACCAGACTGAATATAGCCTATGCCGTTAGTGTGATCGGTCAGTTTATGCATACTCCCAGTGAAAGACATAAGAATGCTGTGAATCGAGTTATATGATACTTGAAGAATGCTCCAAGGAAAGAAATTATGTTTGCAAAGAATGATCACTTGATTATTAAGGGTTACACTGATTCTGATTAGGCAGGAGATAATACTGACAAACGTTCTACTACTAGTTATTTCATCTTTGTTGGTGATAATCTGGTTATTTGGAGGAGTAAAAAATAGAAGGTTGTGTCTAGATCAAGTGCTGAAGCTGAGTACAAGGCAATGGCTCAAGGTGTATGTGAATTACTATGGATGAAGGCTGTAATGAAAGACTTAGGTTTTAAACCTACTACTACTATGTCTTTATATTGTGTCAACAAATCTGCAATTGCAATAACATACAACCTCGTGCGGCATGATTGCACCAGGCATGTAGAAATAGATTGACACTTCATTAAAGAAAAGTTGGATGCTCAGATTATTGAAGTTCCATTCTTAAAATCTGAAGACCAATTGGCTGATATCCTAACCAAAGCAGTTTTAAGTAGAGTGCTTTTCAACTCATTGGACAAGTTGGGCATGCAAGATATCTATGCAACAACTCGAGGGGAGTGTTAAAATGATCCATGCATAATTATAGGAGATTTTAGTGTATCATATGATTTTGTTAATTATAGGAAAGATTGGTAGAATTGCCTAATTGATATTGTAATTAGTGTTTTCTTGTAATTACTTAATTAGATCAATTAGTTTATATGTTTCCTAAATTAGTTGGCTCTGTACCTATTGCTTCCAAGAGAGATGAATAAGATGAAAAAACTGCTCCACTACTGCTGTGTTTATCACCTACATCAATCTGCAGAATTAGAAAAATGATGATGATGATGATAATAATAGTAATAATAATAATAATTGTTGAAACAGAGTAGAATAAGCTACTCGTTTCATGAAAAATAAGTACGAAATTCTTGAACCAAATTTCAATTATTGCACGCAAATATAACTTCAAAAATTAAACAAACAAAGCAGAAAATCTACTGTTCGCCTTTATATACAAACAAAATTCACCAAAAATTTCTGAACGAAGAGATTAAAAAACATAAATTAACTCTAATACATATCAAATTGTTTGTTCTTCATTTTCTCGTTCCTTCGTGACATCAGCTGGAGGCAAAAAGTACTCCACAGACAAGCCACAAATGTTAAAATCAACCTCTTCAATTTTCCATGTTTCTTCCAACTTCCACTTTCTGTTCAATGTCTTTCCATATCTATACAATGTAGCAGATGATTTTCCACTATGTGCTATGTTGATACCTTCTACATATCTATACTCGTCGAGCACGGATTCCATGCTTGTCTCGTAAAACACGCTTTCACCGTCCTTAGCTGCCTTCATTCGTACCAATTTTGTGTCCTCAAATTGTACGAGGAGCCCTGTTCTTTGGCTGAAGTATCCCCACATTGTGTGGTGGACTATTTCGGTGTTGGTTGTGCTTTGTGCTTTGAGAATGTCTGAACTTGTTTCAAGCTTCAGTATGAAACAATCTTCATTCTTTATGGTTTTTTCTCCTATGCAAACTGCGTTTAAGAATAAGTTGGCCGTTGATCTTGGATCCAAACCCTACAAACATCAGAAATGTTAGCTCAAGTTATACAGAAATGAATCCAGGGACTTAAGTTACAATGTTGTATTGTGATCCTGGGATTATGCTTTTCGAAAAACCAATCAGAAAAGTATTCGTCTAATGAGGAATGACGATAGATTATATATTTTTTCTCTATAATAATTAGCATTCAAACATATTAGGTCCTGACACTGTGATATATCAGGTTTTACGAAAAATAAGCACAATGCTGTAATTTTTACTTTTTCCCAACAAACTTTATTTTGTTTCCTATATCTCTAGTAAGTTAGAATCATGGTTCGTCTTTAAAACTCACCTATTTACTTATTAAGGAAACTAACTTCTCAAGTCCAGCCAAATTACTTGCTTTAGAGAGAGAAGGAAGGTTCAAATTCCACCTACTATCATGGATAATACCATTTGTACCGAATGGAATGTACTGAAAGTTGTCCCTCCTCTTACAGTGTACGTGGGCCCCTCGTGAATATGAAAATCCCCAAATGTGGTCCCCACCCCCATAAGTATTTTCCGTACCACATAGGATGTTGTCTAGTACATCGCACCAAACGTACCTGGAAGAACCTTCGGAGAGGTCTTGGAGGCCCTTTGGAAGCACTTGAATTGGAGGATGATTGGCTCCATCCTATTTTTCCATCACTTCCGGCACTTATTTTGCAGCCAGAGACAACCAGTTCTAAGTACCACAGATCAGGGTTCTTCTGCCATAGTACAAAGCCACCAGCTTCGGAGCTTCGTTTTACATTTTCGCAGCTTCGTTTTACATTTTCAAGAGAATTTTGGTCCACGTCTGATGCTACAACCATCTTTACTTGCCCCACAGCATACATGCTGTTTACAGCATTGATTAAAGGTAGCCCCCCTGTTGCTGCTAGATATTGTTGCACAATGTATTTCGCCGTCGAAGCTTCCTGTTGATGGCGACAAAAATATTCAAGATACGTATTGCTTGTTGTGGAAATCGAGCTAGTTTTCAATTCAAGTACTGGACAAATCACTTACATTTTGCCATTGTGATAAGCAAAACAAGAGTTTTACTTTTAAGAGTGCTCGTTAAGAATGATTGGGAAAAGTACGAACAAAAGTCTCACATCGGCTAAACATGGTTTTGGATTTATAAGTGAATATTGCTCCTCCTAAGAGATGTAATTTCAAGACTCATTGCCACAAATTTATAAAAATTGTTCGCATGTCAAACATTTGGTGAAAGGGAACTCAATTTCCATGTGAGACGTCATGTTGAAAATAAATTTTAAATGATATAAAAGTGTAAATTCTTCAGCATTTTAAAATTTAAGACGGCTGGTTTTCTCGACCGTAATAGCTGTAAAAGGGCATGATACTCAAATTATTATGAAAGTGACATCGAAAATCAAGAAGATTGAGGGGTAGACAAGCAGCCATAGTGAAAATTGAGGGGTTGATAATAATCTTCGATACGGATTGTTAACGAAAAATTGACCCCGTACCTTAACTAACATTGAAATGTTGTCATTGCAAATGATAATTCGAATGAACTGAAGAAAAATGATGCATGTAGCGACTATAAATTTATTGAGAACACGACCACAAAGATGAAAGGGTATGCTTACAATAGAACCATCCTTTACAGGCAAGGTAACAGCATGGTCTGTTTGGACCTGATAAGGTATAAAAGCTGATCCAACAAGTTTCAGCAACAACAAAAATTGATCATTCCCCGACGTCGCTGCTGGATGGTGCCCGGATATGTCAATGGCGCGTTGAGCTTTCATCAGATTTCGCATAGTCCTCCACCGCAAGGCAGCGTTGCTTCCCATTTTGTTGAACATCTCCTCCGGTATTGGCACCTCCAACACCGTCTCCAGCCCATCTTCCTTGTCCAGATTCGGACACAGTTTCCTCATAGAATGAACCTTATGCATGAAGCCCACCTAAATCAAGAAATGAAGGGGAAAAAAGAAGCAGAATGAAGGATAATGAAGGCCTTATTCTTGGTCGTGTTCTTTGACTCAGTTCATGCGAAGTGGACGTCGAACAGGAATGAAAGCCTTATTCTTCTTTCCAAGAATGAAATTTTCCCAAGGCTGCAGGTTTGTATGTATCATTCCCTTTGAAACATTGGCAGATTTGAAAAATTAGAGGGGGTGGGGTGGTCAATGGACTTGCTGTCTTGGGCGTTCCTTGGTTGTAGGAGTCGTGTGGGCACGATTTTATCGGGCAAGGCCTGCTTATTTTTTCTAAAAATATCCAATTCTATCCCAAGTCAATTACATTTGGAAGTAGGATGGACTAATTTGTATTTAAGGGGAAGATTTCGCTATTAATTGTACTCGTGCACACATTGTTTGAGTAACAAAGTTGTTTCTTAACTTTTAAGTGTTGATGTATAATTAGTCATAATCAACGTATACTTTTTAAATATTCATTAAGCCACCGTGTGATTTCCATTCTTTGGCCACAAAAATGAAAAATATGACCATTATCCATCACATCAAACTACCTTATTTGACTTTTTATCTCTTGTATGAGTCTCGTAGCGACTATATTTTTCATTCTCATTCTTAAAAAAATGGGAATCAAATGGGGCCTAAATTCTGATATGATCAACTAGAATGACATATCCTAATTTACATATATAAGATTTATTTCTAACTTGGATTAGTACTTTGATATTTGAAGCAAGACTTGTTTAAGTGAGGATCATATGACGATGTAAAGGAGATTTATAAGCTTTCTGATATAGTGGATTGATAATATGATAATAATGAAATGGTAAGGACCAACTTTCTCTTATTTATAAGTTGAAGACAAACTTACTTTAATCGGGAAATATTTTGGGGACCAATGCTGCAATTTTCCCTCATATGATAATATATTCAATTGAAACTTGATGTTTTATTAAGTTCAATGTAATCTTAGCACAATAAGCTAAAAGAGAAAAATGTAATTAAAAATTAATCTTAGTGCCAATTTGGCAAGTTACTCAATTGGTACCAAAATTCAACTTAAATCTCTTACATGATAAATGTTTTGGGTTCAAATTTTGAGGGATATGACATAAAGTCGTGAAGGGTAAGATGTGCTGAGACTCTTCCAAACCGAACAAAACATGTGATATAATAGATTTGACGTACAGGCTCAAATCATTACCCAAAAAAAAAGAGTGCTTTTTTGTAATGCTTAGATCTCTACGTTTAAGCCATTATATTACATCTATTGTCCGCTTTGGAAGAATTTAAACACATTTTACTCCTCACAACATTTTGTTTTATCTCTCAATATTTAAACTCAAGACTTCTATCTTATGGAAAATTTCAGTTGAAACATTATACCAACTGAACAACTTATCCAATTGGTAAGAATTCAACTTAAATCTCTTGAGTAATGATTAAAAGCTGGCCTAGGCATCGAATTAAAAAGGAGAAAGGATAAAGATCAAAAGTTTCAACAGATGGCAAATTAAGATCGAATCAGAGGTTATAAATAAATAAATAAATAAATAAGTATTTATAAACATTTTAATTTTATGGTGTTTTCGTCGACCATTTGATCCACATATATATTAAATATAAACTAATTAAAATAAGTTCATTGAATATGAAATTGAAGATAAAATCTAACTTATAAGTCGATAACATTTTAAATAAATAAATAATATAGCTAAATTTTATTTATTTAATTTAATTATAGATAAAATATAAAAACTGACTTATACGTCCATTTAATTTTTAATTATTTATTTGGGACTTTCTTTTTTAAAAAAATGGAACTACAATTACAATTAATTTTTTATTTTTTCCTGTTTTCTTTTTGTTTTATTTAAAGAGGGAAGTATATTTATCATTTCACAAAGCTTATTGGGAAGATGGAAGAAAATGTTGTATTCCACAAAGAAAATGTCATATGGGAGTTTTTTTTCTTCAAAATGGAAAAATAGGAGGTATTCCACAATAGAGACAAGAATTTAATGGTGTTTTACGCCAATTACCCTATTTAATATTTGACCTCATGCATTTGAATTTTGAATGGGTGTTATGGGAATAATTTAATAAACGATCACTCAATTTTGCTACATATTACTACTCGTTCATTGATCTTTTAAAAGTTACTCATTGCTCACTTAACTTCGTTATGGATTATTATTTGTCCACTGAAATTGAAAAGATTATTCATTGCTCACCTAAATTTAAACAAAGTTACTCATTGCTTGTTGAATTTTGCTATAGGTAACATTGATGAAAATGGTATGAGTGATTGATGAGTAAATTTGTTCAAATTTAGGTGAACAACGAATAACTTTTTAAATTTGAATGAGCAAGTAGTAACTCATAGCAAAATTCAGTGAGCAAATGGTAACATATAACAAAGTCTTGTGATCATTAATTAAATTAACTCGTATTATGGCAATATCTCAGGTTTCCACGTGAACTCTTATTGTTGACCTCGGAAATTGGACCCTCCACGTGGCCAACCGATAACCACTCCACGTATTCCTCCATGTGCATAATCAACCCACGGTCAGATGCACATGGCCGGGACCAGCGGGGATGGCGGCGGCCGTATACACTCCGACGTACAAGTTAGGCTCAGGCGATCGGAACAGTACCAATGTTGTGCAAAATAGTGGGGACGAGAATATATGTTTGCTTGCTATGGAGTGCTAAGTAGTAAGAGTTTCATTGCCTTTACTTCTTGCCAAGCCTTGGGTATTTATAGGTGAGAAAAGTCGTTGGATGTGGGAAACGTGTATACATCTGACGGTATGAGGCGTCTGTTCATAGACGTCAATCAGCCGCGTTTATAGAGTGGGCAGGTAATTACTTCTCTCGAGTTGAGTTGACATAAAGTTGATACGTTACATCAACTAGCCTCATGGAAACGTCAAATCACTTTAAACCTTAGGTGCAGAAGAGATTCTGACAAAGATCTCATTCTGAAATTGGCGGCAGATCCTCTGGCAGAGGTCCCTGGAGTGCGTTTCGCCCCGGATTTAAGGGCGAGGGCACTTCGGTCAGTCCCTCAGAATTGCCTATGCCTCGTAGTGTGATAGCAGATCGTCACCATTGGTGAAGTCACTTCGGAACCACTTCGGATGAACTTTCCACACCTCACATGATGTGGTGGTAGACTTTTCGAAGTGGTTCAGATAGGGGCGTAACACTATGTATAGTAGAGGATAATGATGACACTTTTTATAGTGGGATGTTGATATTCACACTTCAACATGCTTGGAGGATGAAGTCACTTTGAAACCACTTCGGATGAGTGTTCCGATGGACTTTCCAAAGTGGTTCAGATAGGGGCGTAACAGTGGTCCCCCAAGTCCAGGTATGAATATTTATATCATGGGTGGACTTGTCTTCCCGATCGAGTATGTAAGCCTCGATATGGGAACCGCAATTTGTGAGAACTTGAGGGTCGATTTTCTGTGTTTGCCAAGGCGTTGATCCTAGGCAGATGCACTAAAGTTTCACCACTGCGTGAGGGAAAAAATTACGTGAGATCGAGGTGCTACCGAACTGGACGAGACGGTCAACGAGGCAATCGAGGTGAGGACCCACAAGGAACTTCGCGTCAGGTGCATCTAAATTTTGCAAAATTGAGTGAAGAGCTCATCTGCCATCGGTGTGCTGACCCACAAGGGACGACGCGTTGGGAGATGGCTAAAACTTTGTAAAGCTTAGGAGGGAACGCAGCGACCGAGGCGATGATTCACAGGGGACTCCGCGTCAAGTGCGCCTAAACTTTGTAAAGTTGAGTGAGGAGCTCATCTACCACCGGTGCGCTGACCCACAGGGGACGATACGTTGGGAGATGGCTAAAACTTTGTAAAGCTTAGGAGGGAACGCAGCGACCGAGGCGATGATTCACAGGGGACTCCGCGTCAAGTGCGCCTAAACTTTGTAAAGTTGAGTGAGGAGCTCATCTACCACCGGTGCGCTGACCCACAGGGGACGATACGTTGGGAGATGGCTAAAACTTTGTAAAACTTAGGAAGGAATATAGCGATCGAGGCGATGACCCACAGGAGACTCCTCGTCAAGTGTGCCTAAGCTTTATAAAGTTGAGTGAGGAGCTCATCTGTCACCAGTGCGTTGACCCATAGGGGACAACGCGTTGGGAGATGGCTAAAACTTTGTAAAGCTTAGAAGGAAACGCAGTGACCGAGGCGATGACCCATAGGGAACTCCGCGTTAGGTGCGCCTAAGCTTTGTAAAGTTGAGTGAGGAGCTCGACCTGAAGCGGGCGTATCGATGTTAAATGATTTGACAGCTGTTGCGTATTTCCAAGGTGACAGTTGGGTACAGCATCCATTTCCCTAAAAGGCTGCTGCGACTACTTATTGTTGACGACTGGTGGCAACCGATGCGACGCATTATATGCGAGCGTGAGGGTCACAGCAAAATCTTAGGCGTACATTAAATCTAGCGTTTCATTTCAACGGCCTAGATTGATTGCATTTGAATTCAACGGTGGAGATTAGTTGGAGTGCTCTATAAAAGGCGGACTTGAGTGTTTTTGAAGCTTTTCACTCTTCCGAAAACAGAAAATCCCATTGCTCTCAAACTTCCTTGCGATTTCCGGAGTTCTTCAAGCATTCCTGATGAGAAATTCGATTTTTCGGCGACCACACACTGCTTTTTGACCATTTTCGGCTAGGGAACACTGAAACTCGTAAGTTTCAGTATATATTTGAGAGACATTTCCTTTTTGAAAATGGCTTTTGAGGGTAGTGCTAGTTCGGGAAGGGGGTTGGAGTTAGTGCGGATGGACGAGCCCATTGTGGCGACCTCCTCCGAGGTAGCCGAAGCGATACTTGGGGCGAGAACATTTGGAAGAAGCCGAATAGCCCAGCAGATACCTCTGTACATTGGGAGGTGTTGGATTATCCCTCCAAGCTAAAGAGAGCCGACCTAGAAAGACTTAGGACTGAATATAGGATACCAGATAGTCTAGGCCTGATCCTACCCGAGCCTGATGAGAGGGCTTGCTATCCTAGGCCAGGGTGTTGGCGATAAGCGAGGCGATCCTTAGGGCCAGTATTAGACTTC